ATAATATTAATAAAATAAATTTTATGCATATCATTGAATTTTTTTTAAAAAATACAGAGTATAACTTAAAAAAATTCTATGCTGTGTAAATTAATATATATATATATATATGTTACGCACTTCATTCTATATTATGCATACCCACATATATATACTACTTATCTTTTTTTTTACTATATAAATATATATATAAGAATATTTAAATAACAGAATTTTTATAAACATATATATATATTAAAATCAAAATTTTTTTTATAAATTATATTTTAGGATTATTCTACATTCATATGCCGAAGAAACTATTATAAATTATTATAAATTATATGTATTCTTAATATTATACTTACGTGGTTCTTATGTACTATTAATTTTAAAAGTAATATAATTATATTTCTTGTCCAAAATAAATGAATATATCACTTTTCTATTCTTTTTATATTAGTATCTCATTCATCCTTTGCTAAATTTAAATATATATATAAGCACATTTCAATGTTATAAATGTGTATATTATAGGAAGATTAAATATATGCGCTGTTTTCAAAGATAGTTTTATATTCATTTAACAAAGTATCATAATATGTTTTTATAATTAGACTGCATAAATTAATATAAAATAATAATTAAATCATTTTATTCATAAATATAATATCTTTTAATTTACAAGACAATATTTTACAATGATTATAACTAAGTGTATTTTTATAGATATTATTTACAATAGATATTATAATAAATTATTCAGCATATGTTTATACAATTCATTTAGCCCGTATAATAGATGTTAAATATGATCGTTGTTTAATGTAAAAAGAATATACATATAATCATGCACTTCAGCATTTCCCATTTTATACCGTGAATATTGTAAATATAATTATATGTACATTGAAAAATTAAATATATCTCTAGTTTTATATTTTTCTATATTCAATATATATATCTTTAAATATAAAATATTTAAATATTACTCAGAACTTATACATTTTAAAAGAACTATAATATTAAATTAATTATTAACCTAAATATTGGGAATTATTACATAATTTCCTAAAAATTAATTATATATATAAGAACAATATATGTAAAACATTAATATAATTCATTGTATAAATAGAAATGACTTTTATATTGCTCAATATATAAAAAAATATGTGTTTCATATATTCTAATTTATTCGAGATATTTGCAAGATATTCTATTTAAGAGAATATGTAATTACAAAAAATAAAAATACTTTTAATTATTTCATTATTTTTTTATGTTCATGCTAAAAATGTGTTAATTCTTCCATAATACAAAATTTTCAATATTCTATTGTATTTTTAATATTACAGTATATAAGTACTATTGCTTCAAGCAATATAAATAATATAATTTATAAAAACACAGATTGAACATAATATTTTTTATTACAAATATTTTTAGATAATTCAATGTTATCTATTCTTATTAAATAGATGAATATTGGTTTACATATTTAATTTTTATTCTGTATGTATTACTAAAATTAAAAAAATATATAACCTATCATTATTAATAATTCTATTTTCCGTTATAAAAAATTATAAAATGTAATCTAAATTTATTAATGAATACACATGTAATTTTTATTAATATAAATATGAAATAAATTATGAAATAAATAATAACAAATCCTAAACACAAAATACAACATTAAATATGATAGATAGATAAATAAATATGAATACCTACAACAAAATCTATAATATATATTTTATGTAAATATATATAATAACTAAACCTTAATCCCTATATGCTGAACCATCACAAAATATAATATATTGAAAATGAAAATAAAATAATAACATATTTAAGGTTCATATATGTGCTTAAAAATCTTGTCCATGTTAATTTTATAGTAATTTACAATTATAAATTTGATGAGTACAATTCTTTTCTATTCTTATTGTTTTTGATATAAAAATCGATATTTTTATATTATAATATTTTTTTATTCTATTCATTATACTTGAGAAATATAATAAACTTTACTATGATGGCGGAGATATTTGTTTGTTCCTGTTATCAATATATTAATCATAACATTATGATATTTGCATGTTATGCAATCTCTATATATAATAAATATATATTTAATTTAATGAAAACTATGTAATTATAAAATTTATTTTTCTCCTTAGTATAAAAATGCATGTTATTTTCCTGAATGTAACAAAATGATAGAAAACATATCAAAGGATACTCGAGGAGTAGATGGTCTTGATAATTTTTTTAATAATAATAATATTAAAAGAGAGATATTTGATGAAACAAAATGTAAAATAGCTATGTTATATTTGATGGACATAGAGAATGAAGAACATTCCTATAATATAACTAAAGAATCTGGATTTTTATACTTGAATTATTGGTTACATAATAATGTAAAAGAACATTATACAAGAAGTGAAACCAAGAAGATATATGAAGCATTGCTGAAAGATCATAAAACAATTTATGATGATTCTAGCTGCCTGGATTATTTAGATTACAATATTTCCAATCATGACATAAATGGAATCGATAAAATGATTAGTATGTATGTGTGCCTTAATAAGAATAAACATCAAGGTCATTCTTCTCCAATAGATCCATTATGTAATGCAGTGAAGACATTCGTAAATAAGTATAATGCTGAAATTCACAGTGAAACAGGAAAATCAGAAGACTCTAAATTGTCACACCAATGCATAAATAATACAAGAGCTCCTACAATAATTTTGACAGTTGTAGTATTGTTCATAACAGTAGTATTTCTTGTATTTTATAAAGTCAATCATGATTTTATTTATGTATATGCACTCTATAAAAAGATATATGTAATTAAAAAATAATACAATGCTATCTAACATAATGTTATATTTATAATGCATATATCTTTTTATTATATTGAATTTGTAGACTCCCTTTGGATCGCACCTTAGGGATTTGTTAATAAGAAAACGAAATAATTATAATACAATAGATACAGAAACAAATAATATTAAATCAGCTGAGTTATACAGGGATGCTTCAAATTATAAGAAATATGATATATATTATCATTGTGACTGAATTATTTTTTAAAGTATTATTTTGAGAAAGAATTCGCTATAATATTGTAATTAAAGCAGAATGAAAAATAAGATACTTTTAATAAATAAAATGTATTTGTTTATTATTTTTATCCATGAGAAGCTTATACATATGATAAATAATTAAATGAGAATGATTTTCCAAAAATATATTAGACCAATGTCTTATTGTTTTTAAGTAATATATATGCATAAATATTTTGTTAGAACAAGAGATCAAAATTATATCATAAGAATAAAGTGAATCGGAGAAATGTTTCTTAACACTTAATATTAATATAATATAACATATTATTGTTATGAAATTTTTTTTTGTAATAGAGCAAAAAGTAACATTTTCCTCAGAAATAATTATAATTTAGAATGTTAAACAAAAATTATATAGTATCGTATGAAGGAGTTTATAAGAAAACTTTCTAATAACAATATATTTGTATATTATAATATATATGGATAATTCTGTTTTGTAATTAACATAATTAGTAAATATTATCATACAAGAATAATGTGTTAATACACTTATATATTAAGCCACTATATTCTTTAGTAATTTTAATAGGTATAGGAACATATGCTTTTCTTCAGTAGAGCATTGCAAAATATATATTTCTTTATCAATAATGTAATATTTTGTTATCTATATTCCCCTTCTAATACATATTTATATTCATACTCTACATATATAAATGTCAGATTAGTATTTTTAGTTTTGTAATATTCTTTAATGTAATTATCTATTCATTTTATATGTTTCTAACGTATAATAGGCAATGAGATTTAGCAAATTTATTGGATAACTCCTTATATTTTTGCATGAACCATGAATGCTATAAGTTAAATATATTTTCCTATATTATTCCTTTTCACATCTATATTCTTTTTTCCTTTCAAGAGAATTTTTTCCATCAAGTAAAATGAATAAAATAATGTTAAACAAAAATACACAGAATGCCAAAGGAAAAAGTATATATATAAAAATATATATTTTCTTGTTACAATAATAAAACATTTGAAAAATATAAATAGTATTAATTTTAAAAATATACTAGTTTTTATTTATAACATAAGAATATTCTTTAATATATCAGAAAAGGAAATTATCATTTATACTAATCTTTTACCTCTATAGAAAAATAACGAAATATTATTTGAAATAATACATTTTATATTTAGCATAACTGTTTTGCGTATTCATAAAAAATTATATATATAATTACATAAATTCTTACTTTTAAAATCTATATCATATAATTATAATTTATAAACGTATAATAAGAAAAATTTTAGGATTATTATATATTCATATTTAGGAATTTATTAATTATGTTAATTTAATTCTGAATGATGATTATTTACTTATTATTAATAAATTGATTTTTAAATGTTATTTAATAATTATATAATTTACTTTTATATCACTTAAATAATCCTTTTATTAATATTTCTTAAGATATAAATTTAAAATGATTTTTATTTTCAAAATATTTCTATTTATATATTGGTATTTATAGTTATATATTTAGGAATTAGTATAAATAGAATTTTTAAAGTGCGAAATGTAATGCGTGTATTCGTAAAAAATATATAATAAGCGCTATACTTTATACAAATGTCTGAGAATATCCCCCTGAATGAACAAATACATAGGTAAGACCGCATAAATTGTATTTTCACACATTTCTTAAAAATATTTAATATAGTTTTAAAATTTTTTCTTATCAAATTTATCCTTTTATTATGTGCTATATGGATATTATTTTTATCCAAGTTCATTTAATGCACTATGCATATAATAAATAATTACAAGTGCTATAATAAAATTTTTATATTATACCATTCTGGTCCCTTCCTATTTTACATGAATTTTGAGCACATTGTTCTAAGACAGAAATGTATATGATCTCAAAAAAATAGTGCTTCTTAAATATTAATTTCCGATGATTATGTATATCCTGTTTGCACATATACGTTGCACCTAATGATTATATTATCTTTTTAAATATATAAATGTTTTCATATAATTATCCGTCTTTAATTGATATAAAAATATATACTCAAATTATACATAATAAAATTATAATTCCTTGACTATATGATTAAGTAAATATTAAACATAACCTAATATTAGATTAATGCTCTATTTTTTATTTTGTAAAATAGTTTTCATATTATGAAGGTTCATCTGATGCTGCTAAATATATACAACCATAATTTCCTAACCATGCATTAATAAGCTATATGTCCACTATTAAAATATGCTCACAATTTTATATATCATACTTCTCTTTATATACATTGTTTCATAGTCAACATGTGATAAAATTTCTTTAATAATAATAAATTAAGGTATAATTAGAACATCATTATAATACATAAATGGATATATATTTCATCATATTTAACTATATGCAATGAGTTTTAGTATCCTTGTTATATAATTATACTATAAGTACTGATCATATTAATATTCAGTATTGAAATAAAATTATATATTAGTAGACAATTATGGACATGTATTATAATTCAAATTTAAATATTTATCTTGTTTAAGCTAGTGTTTTATTATACATGTATTCTGTGTTCCCATATTTATTTCAACATATAATATTGTATTTTAATTTTAAACTTGTCAACACATTATTTATAAAATTATATATCTATATATATTGTATTTATAATAAAAATATTCACTAAATATTTTTAGTAATCAAATGAGGTATCAACTTTTAAACAAGTATCGACATACGTATTATTCTTAAAATATTATATAAAAATGTGCATTAAACATATCATTAGAATTTATACAGTGCATAGTGTAATTTTTTTAAAAATAGGTCTATATTTATATTAACCACAAGGCAATATATTTAAAATTAACAATATGAATGAGTAGTTTAAATATAATTTAACACAGCATACATTATTGCAATAAGGTAATTTATAAATTATTTAGAGTATAATGAATATTTTAAGTACAATATAGACAAGATATTTTGTGTAATTATGAATTGGTTAAACACTTCCTAATTTTACATAAAAAAAATATTGCTTAATGTTAACATATACGAATATAATCTCTTGTAATATAATACATTATGTATTTGCATATAGATTATTGCTATTTTCATAATAAAATATTTCATAGAAGTTTTTATTTATATATATTATATAATATCCAATCTATTTATTCATAATTTTCCTCATTTCTGCTATAAATGTATCAGTATTGCAATACATTTTATTGCTTTGTTCATATTTATATCATTATATAGAAGAATTATCATATTTCCTTTATGTACTAATAATATAAATAAAAAATAAATGTATTTATTTTTACGAAAATGAAAAATTCGGAAGATTCTCTTTTCTAAGGTAGCTTTACAAATTATATCATCTCATTCAAAAAGTATAAACTTAAATTAATATTTTTTTTCAATATGCTGATTTAATTTTTCTATGAATTAAAATATATTTCATTTAAATTACATCAATTTTTTATAATAAAGTACATAAAATTAAATTTAAAAGTAAAATGGTAATTTTTTATGGAATATACACGAATATTCACATATTCCTTATGTATATAAACAGGGGTATTACAAATTCATTATTAAAAGACGAAAATTACACATAAAATGATAGTTTAAACTCTATATTTAAGTAATGGATATAGCACATAATGCGATTGTAAAAACTAGGTAACTATAATTATATAATTCGGATAATGTATTCTCTACAATTTTCTAAAAAAAGCTTAATCTTGGATATTTTAATAATGATAATACTAAATAGAAATATCTATGCTACTATAATATCATAAAAACTCTACATAAAGTAATTCATTCCCATATATAAAATCTAAAATAACATATCTAAAGGTAAAACCCTAAAACATATCCCCCTGAGCCTCACACGCTAACATAAATTTTCAAATAATATTTTCCAATTTCAAATAGGATTTTTTATTGTAAAAATATAAAAAATTAATATATAAATTATTGCTAAAGTAAAATATTCTAAATAATATTCATTTGTAAAATGAATTAAGAAATTAAAACATAAAAAAATATAAATTATTCCTAAAAACAATATTTTTATAATGAATAATATAAATATATTTATAGAAAATGTTTATTTATCTTGTGTTTTAATTATTTCTTATTAATTTGTAATATACACATATTTTTAAATAAATTTATAAAAAATTTAGTGTTTAAAAAATGTAAAATGCAATTTGCTCTCTTTCACTAAATAATTTCTATAAATTTTATCACCATTTTAATAAATTTTTTTTATCATTGGAATAGTTAATATAAATATTATTTTCATCATTACTGAAATAGAATAATTTTTTGCATTAATAATGTATAACTATAAACCGTATAATAACAAAAATACTTGAAAATAAAAAATGTTAGAAACATGGTAAAAAATAAATCATTCATTATTTATCAAGAATAAACACAAGAAACTAATATCATAATGCGTAGAAGACATGAAGTATGATATTTGAGATTATTATATAAATAAAAGTTTATATTGTACATGAATAAACTCATAATGTACTACATATATATACATTTAATAACAATACCAAGAAACATATAATTTATTTTTTACTTTACCTATATGATGATGATATATTATTTATTTTATTCAAAATATGCATTCACTACAAACGGAAATAATATAACAATATAAAAATGTTCTAACATAATGTACTATTGGTATTTTTTTAAGCATATATAATAAAATAAAAAATAATAAATAGTTAATATATTCGCATTGCAACATTTATGAAAAATCCGATTAAACTGACTTAATACGTTTCATTAATTTTTGATTATTTATTAGGTGAGGACAACTAATTTGTAATATCCTGATAGATAATACATTTTTAAATTTTTATTTTCTTGTGTTAAAAATACTTATGTAAAAACTAGAGTAAATAATTAATTATAAAAATATATATACATATTTAAATTAACAGCATTTATTCAGACAATATACATATGCTTTTTTATTGATAATCTTTGTAAAATTGTAAAATTCCTGTAAAGCACTATAGCCTTGATGCTATTTTTTATCGATATATAAATTTATTATTTCCAAATATCATACTTATAATATTCATTTTTGTTTTAAAATAATTAATAAGATATAAACAAAAATATCATTAGAACTATATGTTATTCTGTGAAACAATTTTTTACCAAATAATTCTGTAATTTATTATAAAAATATTATATAATGATATAAAAGGATAACTTTATGACACATAACAACATTTATTATTATATAATAAACATATATCCATACATGTTCATATATTTTATAGTTTAATATAGATTTCCTATAACATATTATAAGTTTATGCGAAATGGGGGAATCTATTGTAAATTTTAACTTTTATATTATAAATTAAAACATTATTATATTTGTATATTCAATTATCGAAATATATTATATAATAATATTAATAATATGTACTTATTGAATGCTTTTAATTTCTTTATTTGTTTTAGTATGATGTTTTAAAAAAATTTCCTGAATGTAAAAACAATGTAGATGAATATTCTACTAACTGGAGCAGAGGAGAAGGAGGCACATGGAAAGAATTATGTGACGAAAACGGAAAAGAACTTTTATTAAATAAATTAATACATGAAGAAAATAAATCAAAAAGTATATGTACTCAAGCTATGCGATATCTCGTTGATGTTAATTCTGCGATGGGTGGAAGTTTATATGAAGCCGGTTTGGAATATCTTTATTATTGGGTATATGATATACTACATAAAAATGTTCACACAGATATAACCCTCCATGTCGAAGATGTTTATAATGAATTGTTTCATTTATTTAGGGATAAATTTAAACGTATGGATGAATCTAACATAATCAGATTAAATAGTCTTGAAAATCGGATTACAAAAATTGATTTTCCAAAATTCAGAGTTATATATGATAAGTACAATAAAATAATTAGTCATTCACTTAGTAATGATGAGGTTTTTCAAGAAATACTAGACATAATTATTAAATATAACCAAATAGAATATCAAAGTAGTAAAATTAATACATCCACAATGACAACTCCTTGCAAAAGTAACACAATAGTTCCTATTATGATTACATTTATAGTAACAGTAATAATATCCATTTTTATATTTGTTTTACTTAAGGTTAATTATTATACTATTTATATAACCTTTTGTTATGAAATTATTTTTCTATATAGTATAAAAGAAAAAGGATTACAATTAAAACACAAATATTCTTAATGCATATATTCCTTATGAGTCAGTTCACGAAATATGGTTCATGGTTTCGACAAGGGATATTATGGAAAAGAAATCATTGGGATAGCCCTGGTGAAGAAAATAATATGTTCGAAATTCCTGAAATATCTAGTAGTTCTTTAAAAGATATAAAATATAATATATATTACAATTATCCATAATTATATATTTAAATATACAATTTTAAGTAATAATTTACTTAAGGACCATAATTATATATAAAAAAATGATTCGTCCGGAGATTAACATAATAATTCATAGGAAAAAAAATGATTAACATAATATATTCAAACAAAAATAAGTATTTATTTTTTAAATTTAATACGGTAGTATTTAAATAAATTTATTATGCTTAAAGATGTAGTTAAATAATATTATAAAGACTGAATAGTTATGCTGAAAACATTATATGTAGTTGTCTTATATTATTATACACAATTTGAAGAAAAGAGTTATTTTTTGAGCTAAGAAAAAATATATTATAAATAATAATTCACACTGGATAATATATTAATATATCTGTGAGGTACAATTTTTGATAATTAAGTAATATATATAATACACGGTATTTCGCTATATAAGATAGAAATTTATTTAATAATGTTGTTGAAAACCGTACTAGCTATTATAAAAAAACATATTAATAATTAATTTTGAACTGTTTCATAATTTTTATAATATTTTTTAATGCTGAGCATATTATATTTCTCCATACATACATATACATATAAATATGACATGGAAATATAATATTATATTTGCATCATTAGTTTGAGCAATAACACCAATTTTAACATGTCATTTATTTTACTTATGTTATTCCTTATTTGTAATTATTTTATTTATATTTTTATTGTTTTTTGTTTTATGGAGTGCTTAAATTTTTCTATTTATGTAATTATTATATTGAATTACTCTCTCCATAATTCCATTTTAAAATAGAATTAAACAAATCAATACATTAATTTAACATCGTGTTCTATATTAAGTTCATACATTTTATAGATTAAATTTATAATATATCTTTGTCATATTTTTTAAAAATAATATTTTTCTATTTTGGTATTTGAATATATATTATACATAGATATAAGGAAAAATATAATTATATATTTGGTATAATATACATGATATATATTCTAAGATAGTAGCCCTATAACACATTCTCCCTTTAATACCTAATGTGTGCATAGGATAAAATCAGTTATAAATATTTAATATTTCCATTCAAGTAAAAAAAAATTAATAGAAAAAGATAATATGAATTTAAAAAAAAAATCATTAAATACAAAATTGAAAAGTAATATGAATGCATTATATAATTAAATGTATTACTAAGTTCAAAAAATTCGAAATTTATTTACTTTTTAATAAATGTAATTTTAAATAAAATATATTAAAGTGTACGCATTTTTATTAATTATAGTAAACAATATTCTGCATCATATTTGAAAAAAAATTTGATAATATATTTCAAAATAACTAAAAATAATTTATGAATGTGAATAATAAAAATAAGTAATATAGCATTACCGATCATTATGTGTGAGTAGCACAGAGAAAATTAAAGAATTTTTTATAGGCTAATATAACTCATTTATTAATAGGATATAAAATGATTGTGCTTTTTCTTTTTTTTTTTTTTCTCCTATCCTATTTCTACATACATAATTATTAGTATAATAATTTTCATATTAATAAATTAACATTCTAATAACTAAAAATTATAAAAATAAGCAAATTTATGTATTTATAATAAATACAACGTAGCTTCATGTGGATTTTTTAATATTAAAAACTTTTACTATAATTATGTTTGATATTAAAAAAATAATATCATTCTATTAATGCTTTATTTAGTTTTCTTTATAGCTTTTTATTTAAAAACTATTTAAATGAATAATAATCATACCACCTTATCACAATATTAATTTTAAAATATATGCGATAAAATAAATTATGCAATAATGAAATCATATAAAAAAATAATGTATTACAATTTTATCTTATTATTAATCTTTTAAATTAAATATTCAAACATTACAAAATGACTCAATGGTATTATAGAAAATATTTGTATAACGATATTTTATGTAATATTTAAAAATATCATGCACATAAACAAAAAGTATTCGAATTAAATAAGAAATAGTTAAAAAGGAATTATCAATTTACTCTCAAGAATAAGTGTATTCACAAGATAATGTATTCACTCTCCTTAATATAAAATTAATAATACATATGTTAATTCTACAAAAGAACATACTATTTCTATGATACAAAGAATGGAATTTATTTATAAAAATACTTCTATAACATAATACTTCTTGTGTTAAAAGTAAATTTTTTTGTTGTATTTCAGTTATAATGAGTGATAAAAATGAAGAATATAATTTCGTTGTTGCAGTAAAAACAATAATTAATTAATATATTCTGTAAAAGATATAATGGATAGAACTATTTGAGCAATTCATGATTATTAAAAGCTTTTCTTAAGATAAGATTTCCATTATAATTAACATGAATCAGAAGAAAACAATATATATTCATTAATAGTATAATTATTGTTAAGCAATTAATTGCCTTGAATTATACAATTTTGTTAAAATTCATAATTATTTATTTCATTTCAGGAAATATGTCTTATATTTTGAGTAATATATATAGGAAATTTAAGTAATATTAGAAAACTACCAAAAATATTATAATCATATAAATAATGATGTTTTGAATTTTATAGATATATTAGTTCCTATTTTAAAGGAAAATAAAAGAATATATATAAATTACATTATGGAAATTTTTAATACGTGTATGTGCCGCTTAAATTCTTATAGAGGATAACTAATGTATTGGATATGTTCTATATGTATATAAATAATATATAAGTAGTTATTATATTTTAATGTGATTTTATAAGGATATAAATAAAATTTTCATATTATTTATATATAAAAATAAATAATAATAAAATAACGAACCTATAATAATGCCATAGATTTACATTTAAAAATACATAATATAAACAATGATCGCAAGAATTTGTAAATGTTTAAGTGGTATAATAATTAATGAACATTACATAAATGTAATATTTATTTGGACACATTTAGCTTATAAATATTTATAAAAACTACAAATAAAAAATACATTCAATTAATTAGCATGCGTTAAATAACATGGATGTGAAATATTTGAACACCAACGTATAAATATATTTTTATTATGAAAAAAAATAATGATTTCTACCTTCAGAATTCCATATTGTATGAAGAAGAGCACGATATATATATTATAGTATAAATTTAAATTTATTTTAACATTTATAACTCCTTATTTAGTTTGATTTCCAAGATATATTTGCATCATGTATGGATTATTATAATGAATTCATATTCGTTAATATAAGTAAAAAAAGTGCTTCTTATATAATACTATGCAGAAAAATAGATAAAAATATAATGTATTCTTTAAATTCATTTATTGTTGATTGCCAACATATTATGCTCTATTTAAAAAACATAAAAATCAAAAGAACAAATAAAATAGAAGGGTAATGTAAATATTTCAGGTATGAACTAAATGATAGATTAATATATTTGAATCCTTCTTGTTTAAATGAAAAAAATGTTACGTATATATGAAAACTATCAATGTAAATAAACATGGTAATGTATTTAATACGTTTAATTGACATGTTTTTGATATTGATGAAAAAGCAATTTATATAATGAATAAACTAAATGAACAATGTTGTAATTATAAATTATTAAATACTTCTCAACATACATGATGAATTGCTACTATATGTTTTAAAAATTATATCGAACTTTTATCAATAAGTCAAAAATTAATAACAATTGTTTTCATGATGTGCTGAAAAAATACTAAGCTTAGTATAATGAATACATAAAGACAAGGAATGAATACTCAAATTATCTAAAATGTTAGATACTTATAATGCAAGACGTACATAGAAGGATTTTCTAGGTTCACCTTTTATAATGATTTCTATATTAATATTTATGCTTATTTTATATAAGGTTAATAATACACTAATTATATACCAATTGTAACATATTACAATTTCTAATACATTCTACTATATATTTTAAATATCATATAAATTCAACATTCACGAAAATATAAGTTTATTTCCTTATATTCTGTGTTCTCTTAATGGATCTTACATACAACCAATTGTAAGGAAGCAAAAGAATTCTTGGAAAAAAAAAACGGATGAAGCACTTAAATTATGTAACTCATTTGGAACACAATACAGAAATTCTGTTAATAAAAATTATATAGTATTATATAAAACTGTAGAATTCTAGTAAAATTATAACTAGCATTAATAAATACATATTATAATTTTAGAAAAATATATTAAAATTTAAGGATAATATATTCGATGAGAAATAAATAATTATAAAAACATAAACGTTCTAAATTAATGATAAAATATTAATCATTTCTAAAATTGATACAAAACACATTGATGAGTGGAATAGTAATATTGAACATCTTGCATGTAAAGGAGATACAACCATATATATTATCCAGTTCAGAATTTAATGAAATTAACATATTTAATATTATTTTCCATTTTATTAAATTATTATGATCATATTGTTATAGTCAAATTATATTAATATTTGTTATTAAACTTCATTTGTAAAATGAAATAAGTGTTTATTATATCTAATTAAAAGGAAATATATATATTCGATAAAATATAAATATAGTATAATAATGAAATTACACAGTAAAACATATTATCCATAAGAAATAAATATAAATTGAATTATAATATATAAGATAATATGTGAATATATAACAATGTAATATTCAGTAGAACTGAAAAGATTTTAATTTATTGATAATAAATATATAGTAGACTTTATATTTATTTAATAGTAGCTTGCTAAGAAAAGCATATTTCCATATAAAAGAAAGAATTTATGTAATTTTAGCATAGAATAATTAATTACGTGAAGAGAAATTGATACTGTAGTAATTTATCACAAAATAATTATATTAAAATTTTAAAAAAAGTTTTCAATATTTTTGATAACAATTTCGTATCAGCACATTATTGTGTATCAGTAATAGAAAAATCATCTGACATTTACATATATTTATTGTATTACTATAATGTTTTTTAAATGTATTTTTTTTATAATTATAGTATAAAATAAATTTGTTTAATCTAGGGATGTATAGAAAATTTAAGGGTACATTTTTAATGATATGTATATGTTTTTTCTGTTACTTTTATATTTAATGATTACATCATACGTTTGGAACACAGAACTGCTAAATAATATAATTATAAATATTACATTTATTTCTAAAAACAAGAATTAATACAATAAATTTGGAAAATTACGAGCACCAATATAACATATTCAAATAAATCATAAGATGGAAAGAAATATTTACAAATAAATTAATTAAATATAATACATATATATGTATACAACTGAAAAAGAGTTCTTGTTCAATATAATATTAATTATATTAATATGAATATATAATATATTTTTTCGTTTTATTTAAAAACTTTAATATACTTCTTTATTTTTATACATCTAGTAGTTGTATTTTTCTCAAGGCCTTTATTTTTTTTCTATGAATACACAAAAAAAATAATTTATTAATGAAATAAAATAAATTTATAATAGCTAAAAGCACAGGCTATATATATATTATATATGGTTATACTATTTATAAAGATTAGCATTATATAATATGCATCGTTTAATTTTTATACTCATAAGTATCAATATTTGCATGATTTACTACTTAGAAAACAAGCTTTACGGAAAAACGTTTTAATTTATTTTAATGTATATGCTAACTCTCATGTGTTCCAAATGTATAAGGCATAATTAAATATAAATATGAAGTCAATAATATATGAAGTTATTGAAAACATTTTCTTAGATATATAATATATTTAAAAATATATTATATATATATTAATAAATAGGCGCAACAATACTAAAAAGTAAACGTTAAACATAAATCTTATTACATTTTTTTAAATATATATCCTATTATATTCTTGTTTAATTAAAATATTAATGTGATATCAATTAGTATACAATTTGTTTAATTGTGTATTATAAACGTAATATATGAATTTTTTTCTCAGTTTCAATTTTAGTTTTCACATGATTTACTATAAAGTTATATGTTTTTTAATGCATAGATATATATAATTTATTATTTAGTATATTTTATGTTAATTTTTTCCGTATTATTTAAAAATTCTTATTTATATTTTATTAAAGATTAATTGTAAGGATTTATAACTCATTCTATTCTATGGAATATTTAGTACAAGATGATGTTTTCAAAACAGATATATTCAAGTTATTCACATATTTTAACTAACTAATCTACGTTATTAGTTAGATAATATTTTATTATATGCACCAAAATGTTCCATTTATTATTATTATTTTTTTTATATGAGTAGTTTCATATCTCGTTATAATTATAGTGAATATACAATTAGTGCTTATATGATATAGTTTTTAATGCTGATACTTAATGTATTATACTTAATTATAATAGAATGTTTATTTATAATATATATTTATATATTATTTTTTTCACTTTTATGTAATAAATGCATTTATTATTCCATTCGTAGAAATAATTAAATGTTGTTATTCTATAAATTATTATAAATTAAAAAGCATAAGGTTTCCTTTGTATTATTTTATCATAATACTAATATTCATATAAATAAATTTATTTTCTACAAAAATTCTGTTATACTATAGCATTTTTGAAAATAAAAAAAAATGAACTGAGATACTAAATTTATACATTTAGTACCTATATTTAACTGATATATATGCTATTCTATATGAATCATCAATTGAATTTTTGTATTTAGCACCAAATATATCCATGAATTCCAGATTATTTTTGTTATTTTTTTTCAGTACTTTTCTTAATTTCCCTATTCTTGATTGTAAAAATGAAAAATAAGAGGTATACTGAAAAAAAAAATAAATGTTAATTTTATATATTATTCAATTATTTTATATAAATATTTTTAAAATTATTTCTAAAATAAATTATGTTACAAGATACATTTTAAAGTTTAACTTATTTTTAACCTTATACAATATGAATACAATGACTAATATTGCAAATGATAAAAAACCTATTCCAACATCTTTACCAGTACCTCTACCAATATGTCCATCTTTATATGTATCTGCTATTATTGCTGCTTCTGTAACTGTGTCTTTAACAGTTTTGTTCACTTTTATTCTCAATATTCCATTAATTCTCATTTCATCACTAATATAATGTAAAAAAATTTTTACATGAAATTGTGTACGATCTAAACTAATCACAAAATCTATGAATAACTTGTTAACATCTTTAAGAACTTTTATAAAAATCTCGTTATATTCAATTTGATGAGATTCTAATTGTCTCATACACCTTATAAAATCATCAAGCTTGGATTTACTTGGACGTAAGGGATCTTTAAAATTACTAAAAGCATTATACAGCTTATCGATCTTTTCAAATGTTGGAAATATTCTTTCATCAATATCTTGGGGATAATTAATATGTTTCATGCATATATCAGATATCCTTGTTCCGAAACGTTCTTCACTTGCTTCCCTCATATTCTTATAACATTAATGAGCATTTTCACATTTAGTGAAAAATTTTTCTATAATATTTTTTTTTAGTTTGTAATAAAAGTATTTACAGCATGCTTTCTTATTTACGATTTCACTATTTTTTTCCATATGATCTAAATATAGACTAAGAACATTACAATTTTGAATAAAACTGTTATCACTATGTTGATTACTTGTTACTGCATTGTGAAACTTACTTCATGATCTCGTAAGATTATGAAATATCTGATTTCTTTCGTGATGATGTGGTGTCCAACTGAATCCATTTATGAATGTGGGAAATATACTATTCAAATTTAGCTAAAAATAGAAGTAATAATATATACAAAAAGTAAAAAAAAAATTTTTTAAATCATTTGCGCTTAGTTATCAAGAAACAAAATATTTTAAAATTATGTATATAAATTATAATTTTAATAAACATTTGAGAAATACATCTTTCTTAATTCCTCTTTCTTCGCTCATTATATTTTATATATCGTGAATAATAAATAAAAAATTGTATACTAAAATTTTATTTGATAAAAACATAAGAATCTACTGTCAATTTATATTATATATACTGATACAAATGTATTTAATTATTTATTTCATATTTTGTTCATACATTTAATAGATTGTTAATATATTTTATACTGCAATATCATTATTAATTCCGTATACAATAATCATTCTTTTAAACAAAAAATGTAATTAAAAAATAAGAGCATATCTTACAACATATATTATAACAACAAATTCTGAATTTTATATTTGTATTACAATTACATATATATCACCATTTTCATAATACTCTATAGTCATATAATAAAACAATTTCTTTATGTAATATTATAAATATTTTTACTGTAATCTATATATTTTTATGCCTTCATTCACTATATAAATTTACTATATGTAGTTCTAGCTATACTATGCTTTAGTTTTATACTCACAATATTGGATTCAAGCCTTATTATGTATACTTCTTTATATATATATTTATTTTTTATTCATTGATTTTATTGTTAAATACTTTCCTCTAATGCATTATTTGATAGTTATTATTACATTCATTGATTTTTTATAAAAATTTTTAAGAACACACGAAATTAGTATAACTTAAAATATGTAAATTATAATTAAATAGGGTAAATACAATTTTTTAATAGTTCATAATTGTATATATGTTCCTATACATTACATTTTAAGTAAATATTTTAATTCACTATATATTTACTTATAAAAGAATTCAAAGTTCATATTATATAATATTAATATACTTGGTATTCAATATATATGTAAAGGATAAATAAAATATTTTAATTTTATACTGTATATTATGTATTATACTTATATATGTTTTATAATACTAGTGAATAATTATTTTTTAGTTTTATGCAATATAATATTTTAATAAAATAATCATCTTATAATCAAGAATTCTTAGTGCTTTGATAAAGAATATATCTATATTTTTTCATATTACATTATTCTATGCATAATTAAATAATAACCTTGTGTTATAATATTTTTTATTTTTATTTTATCTGAATTTATAATAAATTTAAATTATTTTTTACCTATATGACCAAATATTAATCTTATTACCATATAAAGGAACTGAATCGATATGTATTCCTAAGCAAAAAAAAAAAAAATTATAAATAAGATAATACATTTGTTACTATTTTTAAATGTTATTCACACGGTATTAATTTTATATTACACCCTTCTTATTTTGTTATGATTATTTATTTTAAAAGAGAAATATAATAAATGATTTATTTTCCTATGAAATATTTCTCAAAATATTATACAATAACTAAAGATATATATATATTTAATTCTTGTTTGTATAATATACTCGAAATAGTAATTTATTATAAAAATATTATAAAACACATAAATAAGAAGTATACAAAGTTATAAAGAACATACATTAAAGCATAATATATTCTCCTTTAATTAGCAATTATACGATACCACATATTTTTTACTATTTGAATATAAACATGCTATACTATTTATTGTATAAGTTATATAACCCTAATTTTACATTCTTATATTATTCATTAAACATAGTTATTCTTATAATAATAAAATATTAGACAATTAATTCTTTCTTATATATTTATTATAACAATCAAAATTTTATTACGATAATTTGATTGAAGATATGTCAAAATTGATGCTTTATTATATAAAATCAGTTATAAGTAGAATATAAATATATATTTTATGAATTTAATTTTCGTAATTGTATAAATGTAATATATAACACGCACATACGAGTATTTTATTGTATGTTTATAATTTTTTTAAATGAGTACATAATATTCTGCATTACCCAAGCATAAAATAATATACTAGTATATAATCATATCAACGTATGAAAATGGTAACATATAAAAAAGAATGTAATAAATAAATTTATTTTTTATAAGGTATTATTTATTCAAAATTATCCATTTTTATAAATTATGAATATATTTATTACTTTTTTCATAAAATTATAGATGCCAGTATTGAACATTTACCTAAAACGATCATCTGTGTGAATGTTTTTAATATTCGTATATTTATCCTGTATTTTCTTTCAAATAATTTTTTATATATTTTATTCTACAAAAATTATTATCTTTTGTACTATAATCTAGTTTATTGTTATTCCACTTAACGAGAAATTAGGGGGATGCCTAAATAAAACTATTAAAGATAGAATATATATTTTTTAAGCTATATCCAAATATAAATGAAATGAAACTATAAATATAAAGCACTAATATGCTATAAATATGATTTATTCACTAAATTATATAGGTAAAATTATGAACATTGCCTCAATATATTTAAGAAAATTATTTAATATGTATATTTAAATTAAAAAATAAGCATCCAAATGAGTCGTATTATGTACTTTTTATTTATATCATACATGTTTTATATTAGAATCTTTATATATATAGCCCTTCTAAAATTTAATAACAAATTTCAGTTTAATTTATATTAAAGTATATTTCATGTTATTACCTTTTTCAATTTTTCTTTTTAATTTTTATTATAAATATGCATTTTTTTGAAATTTAGGTTATATTTTATTTGCTGATGAAATTATTTTAATATTATTATATAGAAATATATTCTGCTTCTGTTCCTGTTATATCATTGTTTTTATGTAATATGTAATACATCTTCATATATAATTTAACAGTATGGAAAATATTTGTGTTATACATTACATTCATAATTCCAAATGCATATGTATCTGTAATAAAAATTATTTATTAATAAATCTTCAATTTATAGGTTTCTATAAGATATACATAATCAATACCGTTTTACTATTCTTAAATTAAACCATATTCCAAAGGTGATGGCTTTATTTAATTAGTGTTATTACAATAAATAAATCAAATTAATTTTATAAACATAGTATGAATATAAGGTATAATAATTTATTAGGTTATTAATATATGTTTTAATTAAAAATAACTTAATTAATAATAATACAATATAGAATACACTTCCCAAAAAAGTAGTATTATAGGTTTTACAATGATTATTTGTATTTCCATTTGGTTCGTGAATAAAATCCAGTAATAATTGTGTAACGTGTTGTGAAACATCATCTTCAATATAATATTTTATTTCTTAATTTGACTTCTTCCAATTAAATTTATGTTTTTAGTATATCTCAAAACTTATGCTCAAAAAGACAATATATTAGAAATATTTTTTTTCTTATTTCTTATTTTGAATATTATGCACGTATTGCCCAAGCTATATATGTTGCTATTAACTACAGTATATAAATGTATATTTTTATTTCTTGCATAATTAGAATAATTAATCATCTTATATAAATAATTTATTATTCTACTATTTTGATTAGATATAATTATTAACCTCAAATCTTCGGAAAAATTGATCAATTCGTATATATGAATAAGAATTATTGTAGAAAATGGTATCTATGTATGATCTTACGTGAAGGATTAGGTATCATATACTAAATTATTAAATAATACATTAAACAATTATGATATTCATATTAAGATATATATTTGATTTATATTTCAGTTAAGAAAAACAAAAAATGAATTTTATTAATA